TCTTGTACTATTACATCCAATTCTACTACCTAAAACATGTTGGAAATAAATAACTATGGATCTCATTACATGTTTGCCACAGACACTTCACAATTATACTAGGATTGTTGTCTTTGTGAACCGACTCTCAAAGCAACTTCACTTAGCCATGGTGTACTTTGATATTGATACTTCAATATTTAAACAGATCTTATTTGATATTATCTTTTATCACGATAGATTACGTTGTATCATTATTTCATATCAAGATCCATGCTTCATGAGAAGTTTTTGGTAAGCCTTGTTTAAGCTACTTGACATACAACTTCATAAGTGTACAACCTTCTATCTTTAAATAGATGGACAAATAAAATATGTAAATCGGATCTTATAGAATATACTATAGTTATTTATCACAGTTCTTTATAATAATTAGAATAAATATTTGATGCCTTTGGAGTTTGCTTATAATGATACTATTCAAGTAAGTATCAATCATTCACCATTCTTTCTTAATATTAGTCAACATCCAATTATGTCGGCAACTCTCTATTGTTTCATTGATACCAACAATTCGACAATAAAAGAGTTTATACAATGGCTTACAATGACCTTATAAGAAGCATGGCATTGCCTCTTTACTACACAAAATTGACAAAAGTAGTATGCGAATAACCTCTAATAATACAAGATCTTTTGAGAGGGTGATCTTGTCTTACTCTCCAATACCAACTTGCTACTTGCTACATCAATCTAAATTCATAAACTGGTGCCTCACTGGTTTGGATCTTTCCACATTTTTACAATGATTTTTGATGTCACATATTGCCTCAAGCTTTCACCACATATTTGGATCCATCCAATCTTCCATGTTTTGTAACTCAAGAAATTTCATATTGAGCCAAGGCGCTTTTCAGACCGACATCAACCATGACCATCATCACTTGTAGTTGATGACCAATAACAATATGAAGCAAATAGTATTTTGGAGCATCACTACATTTGCCATGGTAGTAGATGTCTACAACTTCAGTATAAAGTTTTCTAGACAGATTATTCCATCTATAATGCAATGTCAAAACATGCACAAAACCTCACCTGTTGCCAAGAAATAATTTAGAGATACCATTAGGAGCAAAACAAGGATGTTCTACGTTAGTAGAGGAAAATTAACTGTGATGGGATATAAATAAGATATTTGTATTGTTGACACATAAAAATAGATAATTAGAGAAGTTTTTGAAAAGTTTATAGAAGTTTTTGGAATTGAAGCTAGGTTAGTGGACTATGTAGGATCCACTATGGAACATTCTAGAAAGAGCTCAAGGCAATTATCTAGATAGGGCTTATCATAAAACATTTTAGAGAGAACTTAGGATGATTACTTTGGTTGGATCAACTATTAAAAACATTCTAAAAAGTTTTAAGATGGTTAGACAAAGTATAAATAGAATTAGATTAGATCATTTGGACATCTAGTCAAGTATGGCTTTGGACCCTTTCTCTTAGTAAAGTTTGGTTTTCTATCTTCTTCTTTAATTTTGTTCTATTTTCTTTTATTGTAATCAGCTTTATCCTATATTGTGATGGAATTTATATTGCTATGGATTAGAAGGATCTTAGATTTTTGAGATAATCCAGTTCCATTTCAATCACAATCTAAATCCCTCTTTTAACAATTCAACAAAAGATAACTCTTAAGATGTTGTCTTTTACTACTTAATAAGAGATTTAAAATATACTACATCAATTTGCATGTCTTACACCTTCAAATTTAAATATTGAAAATATGTTGGTATTATCAATAAATTATAAAGATATTAAGGCTCACTTGTGTAATTTTGAAATTAAAATTTAGAGAATTAATTTTTACACTTCACAATAAAGTCAATTCCTTTATTTAATATTTAAAGACTAAGTAAGTATGATATTAATTTTTTTATGTCATAAAAAATCCATAAAAAAGTTGGTTGCTACACGTCATTATTCTACTTGATATCAATTACAAGTTATCAAAATTGTAAAGCATATAGTCATACTAAATAAAAAAATTGGTAAAAAATATAAATCTTGTTGGTTGTAATTCAAATTGCATTATATTTTCTATACAAAAATCAAAATTCCATCAAAAAAAATTCTAAATTATCTAATACTAGATTATTTTGTTCTAAAAGAAGATGAAAATTATGATAAAGCTGAATTTAAAAGCATTGTTCTAATAAACTTAACTTATAATCTTCAAGCTAAATACCTTTAAGATTCAAGTTCAATTACCAATTGTACTTGATTAATAAATCTTCAAAATTTTAACCTTGTACCATGAAACTTCTCAAATAAAATAATTCTTGATTCTTTAATATTTAAACAATGTTCTATCTTAAGAAAAGTAATATAATTTATTATAAATATTGAAGCAAATCTAATCATTTTTAAATCTTTATTTTCAATCAATATTTTTATTCTTATAGTAATAAATTAATTTAATATATTGAAAGTATTAATTCTATTATTATCTTTTATATTTGTATTATTATATTTTTTATTTCAATAAGTTGTGTCATGATAAAAAATAATAAAAAATATCTAATATTACTTTAAAATAAATAAAAGAAAAGATTCAAGAGCAAAGAAAATTCTAAAAGTAGTATTATTTTAGAAGTGGATAATCCAAAAAATTTACTATACTTATATATTATTATTATTATTATTATTATTATAAAAAAATAAATATTTAATATTCTAAATGCACTCTTTTTAATTTATTAAGGATAAGAAATCAAAATATGTAAATAATTAAGTAAGATGTATGTCAAAAAGAAATGAAAAAAAGAAATGTGAAAGTATGTATATTCAAGAAGAAACAAGAATGGCTATTATCAAAGATAAGAAGATTAGAAACTCTTGAAACAAGGCTAAAAACAAGAAAGGCATTGAAAAGAATAAAGAAGACATCATTCTTACCTCTATATATACTATCAAATAAAGAAGCTACATGACAACATTTTATAGGTTATCTATCATATATTCAATTTTACAGAACATGTATCTAATATTTAAGGTAAGTTTTCAACATATGCACCTCATGGCAAACTTATATGACAAATGATTAATATAAGCAACATGAGGCCAACTTGTAAAGCAAGTGGCCAACATATATAACATATGGCCAACTTATTAATCAAATTTTTAACCTATTAATGACCTACAAATATTTAGAAAGTCCAATCTATATTGATGTAACTTCTAAGAAGCTTCACCACAAGATATTATCAAATTTACCTACTTTTATTTATTTCTATTCAATTCTCTTTATCTTAGTAATTGCTATATCCATGATACTTGATAGTAATAATGTCACAACAATAACTTTTTGGTCTACGAAATTACTTGCAATCTTCTTGCTATGAATAAATTACAAAGCGTAGAGACATAAATAACCATGTAGGCATTACAAGCAAGACTTACAAAAACTTGAGTTGCAACATCTACCTTGCATGTTGTAACATTGCACAAAACTTTTTATTTATTAATGTTAAACAAAACTTACAATAAACATGCTTTAATTATACAATGCCATTGAATACATATTTTACATATATAACTAATTTCTCTAAAACTAATATTAAATTGACTTAATATCTTATACAATAAAAAACCCTTGTTTTAACAATTGTACAACCACATTTTTTTTAACTTATGCAACAATCTACAAAGTAGTAATGAATTAATCTGAGTGAATGCAATATAATTGTTAGATCAGTAAAGACTCATACATGCATAGATAAATAATTGTGTTAATATCTTATAAAATTAAAGAAACAAAAGAAGTATAACAATAAATGAAGTAGTACAATAATGAGTGAAAATAGAAGTTGCAATGAAGTTTGTAATAAATTAGAAATAAAGAGTCAAACAAATTGTTTCAATGAGTAATACATGCATATATAAAAAATTCTTCATCCACAAACTTTTTTTATAAAAATCTTCTAGAACAAAGATTCTTAAAACATTTACTATTTTTTTTTTTTTACTTATTGGACTAAGTACCTACATGTTTTTAAAAAAATGTGTTTCAAGAAAATTGTAACTCAAGTCAAATTTGAAGATATTAAGACGATTTTTTAAGTCTTTGTAGCATAGAATTATGCCAAATTAAAAAAATTGTCAAATATTGTTTGCCAAAATTAAATAATGAGCAGCATATTATCAACTTAGATTTAAATAATTTGGTAGCTAATAATCTTTAGAAGTTGTATATTCTGGGAAGACCAACAAGAAAAAGAAAATTAAATTATTTATAATATAAAGATACTAATGTTTCAAAAAAAAAAAAAAAAAATAGTATTTTACATGGTGCTTCTTTTAGATTTATAGCACAACTTTTGATGATAAACAAAAAATATACTCTATGTTCAAATCTCCATTCACTCTATGAAGTTTTGTTTTGTAATATTACAAAAAAAACACACCATATACTAATGTTTTAAGAAAGATAATTTTTATTATCTAGAATGAAATACTAATGCAACATTGACATAGTATTGAAGAAGTTGGAAGAATTCTTTATGAGACGTTCTATTGCAAATTTTTGTTCTGTATTAAGATCTTTACAATAGTTCAAGCTCAATCATTACAAAATTCACAAATTAAGTTTTATATATAAGATTGTTAACTACAAACCACAAAAGATACTTAGTTTTTTTTAAAGTGTTCTTTTAACATGCAATAATATTTTTAAGAGCATAATTTATTTTTAGTGATTTCACTGTAATAAACGTAAGTTTAAGTGCTATATATCTACTTATATAAAAAAAATGGAGCAGTCTTCCAATACCTCACCCCATTCACTTCAATCCATTCCTTCTGCATCAGAGACTAAATTAATCACATATTCAGTTGTGTACTATTACCACAAAGACTAAAACACAAATCAAGTTCAATACTGTACGCATCACAGAGGAGTAAACTCAAATTCATCCAACACATCCATCACCCTACAAAAAACCACGAATCCCACAGCATGCCAACAGAAACGCAACACTAAGGTGTTGTTTTATTTTATTTTTCTTATACTCTAGCATCACAAGCCATCACATCTACCAACACATTATCTTAATTTTTGTCTATTAAATGTGCCATGTGTGCAAACCCACCAGGCAACGTCGTCTGGGATCTCCGTTCCAGGCAAAATTCTACTTCTTCTTATTCTACACAGGAATTGTAGCTCTAGCCCTGCAGCGATGGTCGGATCGCTGAAGCATTCGGCGACTCATCGGAGCAATCTTAACAGATCAACTGCCGGATTGTGAACCGGAAACATGCTAGTGACGGAAGCTAAGAGATGCGGTCAGCTCCTGGTTCCGAGGTGGGAAGATCTAGATCGATGTTGTTTTCATCTTTCTGATTATATAGTTCCTGAACTACTTCGCCGATTCCCTCAGTGGCGATCAGCTTCTCCTGCAGCCCCTTGATTGTCGATTCTTCCAGTGTCTTTTCCAGCTTCTCGCGGACTTCAAGCAGGATCTCCTTGGCCTTCTCCTTGGACTCGCGGTCCCCCAGTTGGGCATGCGCTCCGGCTGGGTCTATGGCACTAGATCCCACTGCGTAGCGTTTCGCAGCTACGGTCTTTCGCGTGACTAACCCCATGCAGTCGATGGTGCCTTGAGGGGCGTCATGACTCGCGGTGGACTCTCCCGCGTGGTGTTTGGTCCATTTTTGCCACACTGGTTGGGTCTTCGCCAGCAATGACTGTCTGCATTATACCATTTCATGGACAAAATGTTTCAAACCTTTGCGTCACGAAGGCACGAGTAAGTTCATTTGTCAAGCGTGTGGACCGTTACTGAGTACCTGGACTATGTGACAGGGGGATCCGTGAATTGACCAACGACTGGATGTGAGTTTGAGGTGGCGGAGGATTATTACGTTCGGAATTTATTGGAACAATTCTACAATGTTTTAGAGAACTTAGCACGCTGCGCTAAAGTTCTTCGTTCATTGCATTTGAACATCACTATTGGTATTATCATTATTATTGTTACTGTTATTGTGATGACGATGATTATTATACTCAAAGAACTGTTCGTGAAAACCCACGTCGCACGGTGGATCAATACCACTTCCAGGTGAGGATTATCTCTCAAGTCTACGAGAAGTTCCAGTATTGGGCATACCTCAACTCTGAGCGAGGAATCTCATCTGCAGTTACAGAGACCAATTTACAGATTAGAAGAAAAGATAATCATAATGTATACCACGAAAAATGGATACATGAAGAAAATTCCCACTGCTCAAGCAAAATAAAACCACTCATATTAAATAGTGGGGCTACATGTATCCTACCTTGCGATCTACTGAGGATTATAGAGAGTAAACAATATGGGCGGCAAGGAAGTGATACGACCCTATCCCTGGCACGCCGTTCTTACTCCCCCTCAAAAATGTCCTAAAATCTCAAACCCCAATAGCAAACTACACACCTGCAGAAGATGGCGACGCCACATAACACCGCGCCTGTTGCGACGACAATGCCGCTTCCCTCTGGGGACTCTAAAGCAAACACACAGACCCAAACCCCAACTCAACTTCAACTCTCATCCCCTCCGATCACCTTTCCCAACCTCCGCATCCACCGATTACAAATACACAACCCATGCAAAAAATAATTCAAAACAACACCACCACCACCACCATTTCTTCTCTACTATCTCAAGTCACCACCAAGCAGTTCAATCTAACCTGCAAAAACGTCGAAACCCTCGCCCTCCACGCCAGGCGCAAAAGAGACCGCTCCATCCGAATCTCACTCCCTTCCGGTCCTGTCCTGAAGGAATCAATCAACACAACCCACAACTAACTACAATCTGATGATGCAGAGGACCGATCGTTCTAAGTTTACTAACCCTGACCTCTCGACTTAGCCGCGGCAACAGATTGCAACGCACCCACGCAAACATTCACAAGTAGCAAATGACTCGCATCGATATGATCGTACACTTATAGCGCCGGTCCAGTTGGCGAGCAGAAACGTCAGGCATGTACCAGCTTCACCGTATGCATCGTGATTGCTACGTCTGCCCAGAGGACAATTTCGCAAGGGAGACAAGGGTGGGTTCCACGTGGTGACCAGAGCGTGGTCCTCTTAATGGACCCACACAAAACGATTCAATCCGATCAGGGGTTTGAGCCAATAGCGTCATATAAACCCGACGATGACTTCTATTTTGTTTTCGATTTGCGTGATTCCTGTTTAGCCCGTTTTGCTGGTGTGAACTTCCACAAGCACACGAATAATTGTACTTGTGATGCTTCCCGGATATCAGTAATCGCACTGGGTGTCGAACTGCCACGCCCGGCAAGTTTGCGCATCCGCCACATCTGTTCCGGAACAGTATCTTCATCTGCTGGTACCCTGCAACAACAACGGTGCTTCCAGAGCTCACTAGTACTGGGTTTCGAGTTTATCCACTGGTGCGAAAGCTCCGTCATTTGTCAGTTAATTTATTTATTTTCTAAAATCGCGACCTTCATGCAGAAGCGGAAACGAAGTGGTGGGCTTGATTCTCAGCAATCCGTGTGAAACTAGTGCAAATGACGTGGGAGATTTCAGACAATTTCGTCGAAATGGATTCAGGGACAACAGTGTTGGGTTCGTCGCATCCCAATGTACGAGAACTGACCTAGCGATCACGCAAATGGGAGCTCTTTTCATTAGCTGAGAGTGACATCTGCAGTAGTTTCTTCACGGCAGAAGCAGATTTCCTAGTAGCACATGAAGACGCGTTGCGAAAGAACTTTAGGAATAGCAGACACCCACCAGACAGGGGGGCAACATTCGTTATCGCTGTTACGGATCACCTTTAGTTTGTGCGGTTTTTCTCTTTCAGCGTAGATTCTGCAAAACAAGCCTCGCATATATATGTATTGTACAATACCCCTTTTTCGAGCAATATTAAACTCACATTTTACCGCCACGATTGACTTCTTAATACTCGTAAATGTTATTGTTTCTCCTTGAGTATTCGAATTTCATACTTTTGGATTCCATGATTTTACACTAAGGACCCACTTTGGACTTCGTTTTTCCTGTGATTTAAAGTATAATCAAATTATATTTTTAAATAAATAAATAAATTGTATATAATGATGGAAGATATATATATATCAACTTTTCTATTGTTATTATTGATTAGTAAAATTTAATTTTAACTTTTCTATTAGATACATGAAAAACAATTAATTATTAATTATTCATAAAATAAAAATAAAATAAAAAACATATAACATTTGAGTGATGAAAGATAATAGCAATTTTTTCGTAATCATGCATGCATACCATTATCTAAAGGCTCATGCTACACACACCCTCCTAGTTGCTATACAACTTTCAAAATAGGATATTATTAATTTTTATTGTACATCAATGTAGAAGATTGAACATGAAAATATTTTGCATACATAATAAAATAAAATAAAAATCTAAACATATAATAGCTTAAAAACATAAAAAAATATATTGATAAAATAATATTGTAAAAAATATCTTAGATGTTAGAGTGGTTCAATGATGTGTAATCATATTTTTGCCACTTGATATTATTCAACTTGCTCAAAAATCATGAAATATATATATATATATATATATATATATATGTGTGTGTGTATAATTTATTAATCTATTAATGCATTGTTATAAATAAAATATTTTATCCTTTTCATTTAATTTTTATGCTAGAATCAAGGTCATTTATTCCTGATTTTATGTATTTTCTAATAATGTCTTGTGTGTGCATATAAATATTTCGACTTGTAAACAGCCACATTTCCTTATCATTGCAGTGATGAAAAATAATAATCATGCAATGTTTTGGTGTTTAATAGTTATGAATTGTATGTTTTAAAGGAAACATACTCACTGAAAAAAAAAAAAAAAAAAAAAAAAAAAAAGAGAGAAAAAAGGAAATTTTGCATAAAATTATTGGTAATAAATGAATAAAAAACACAAAAAAGAAATTATGTATGGTAGAAATTTAACATAACAAATTTGATACGTGGATTTTAAGGAAGAAACGTCATGAAACTACTGATAGCATTTTTAAAAAATAGAAATTTAATTTGAGGTATTCAATATTAGATATCACAATATTTGTTTCTTTTTTGTTTCTTAAGCATCAGGTTTTTATTGTACATGTATAATCAGAAAAATTAGAATTGAAAAAATAAAACACACCGGTACAACATTTCTTAATTTCAATTAAGTGAAAATACAGTATAACAATTTACTTACTTTCATGATTTAAAATACTGTTATAAAATATAGACATGATAGTTCATTATTTTTTGGAGTTTTACCTTTCAAATAAATTTCTTAAAAAGTGAATCATTATTAATTTTTTTACATTTTTAGCAGAGAATTTGTTTTATTGGAAAGATATTTTTTAAGGAATTGAAGTCTTTATATGATCATTATATTTCAAAGTATTCATAGCATAAACAATAAATGGCAATGCATGAAGATGCAATGGAAGTTGAGGAAGAAAGAGGTTGATTCAAAACTAAGCTATATATACATATATACATACATGCATGTAATAATAACAATAAAAATAAAGCACATGTTCATGAATTTGATTATAATAATTTTTGACATAGTTCTTGTAAGTTTATACAACAATTATTTTGGATTTGATTCAGGTTAATTACAATTCTGAAAAATAAAAATATATGTTTTTCATTGTTCACAAATTATTATATAACTTCTTCTTTTTTTATTTATTTAGGTTTACACAATTCACAATCAAATTCAAACAATGAAACAGAATTTGAAACCATGAAAGTAATACAAACAACAACTGTTGTTGAGGGTAACCGGCAAAAACTAGGAAAAAGAGTAAGATTTGCAATTGAAGAAAATGTTATACATAACTATAAAAATTATCAGAGGATGAGTGAATCAAGTGAAGATAGTAGCAAAGATTGTTGCATGAATGAAAAATGTTCCAAGAATGTCAAATTAAAAGAAAGTGTAATTTTTCCTACCAAATTATTTGATAATGATAGAATTCATGACAAAGACATAAATTATTTAGACTGCCCATCAAACTGTATAAAATTCGATTTAAATATTTCACAGGATTAAAAATTAAATATTCGTGCATTTGTTACAAAATGTAAAATTATTTAAGCCGGAAAATTCCAATTACAAGCAAAAGAGGCTATGACATTCTGTAGAAAACATAATTAATGTTTTCAGCCTATAACTATTCAAAATTGCCTCTGGTCATAAATCTTTTAAAACAGGAAAATATTTTCATTAATATATATATATATATATATATAACATAAACACGTAAACGTATTTAAATAAAAATATATCAATTAATAAAAAAATTAATATGATATGTTTTCTTGCAATCGTTCTGTATCCTCAATAATTGAAAAACTAATATCCTTGCACAATTAATGATAATAATATAGAATAAATAAATAAAAATCAGAGAGAATTAAGGAAAAACTTACCAATTAAATGATTACTTTAATTTATCAATTTATAAATTTTATTTTTATTATAGATTAAATTTGAGTGATTTTTTTTTCATATATTTATTATTTTTGTGTTATTTTCAAAACTTTTAAAGATGGTTTACAATAGAATTTCAAAAAAAAAAATAGGTATAGAGATCTTTAAGAATATCTGATATTTTACAGTAGCAATTCTAAGTAATAAGATTATGAGTAACACAATGAAATTGTCTATATCTATTTACAAAAAATTATGAGTAACACAATGAAATTGTCTATATCTATTTACAAAAAATTATGAGTAACACAATGAAATTGTCTATATCTATTTACAAAAAATTATGAGTAACACAATGAAATTGTCTATATCTATTTACAAAACTATTGTAAAAGCTACATATTAGCCAAAAAATGAACAGAAGATGTAAATCATACTAATTAGTGTTCATCCTAAGACCAATTGCATTTATTTTACCCAACCAATCTTTTCATAGTTTATGTTTGAATGTTAAACTATAATATCAAACAAATCAATTCTGCACAAACCTCCTTGTCAACAATTGGTGAAACAAGACTCCAATACCTGTTTGTTAAGTTCATGAGACAAAATCACACAAAAGGATTGCAAACCGAGTATTTCATTAGTGGATGTCAGGAATAGTTAAAACATCAATGAAGAAGTATTGGTGAAAACTTTCATTTCGCACAACTCGCTCGTTTGAGCGACAGTAATGAGCATTGTTAAAAATAGGACCCATTTTATTAACTAGTTGTGATGCCCAGTGTTCAATAACTTAAGTGACTGGAGTTTTGTTCTTTGAATTGGGGTGAAATGTACAAGAATTTTCAAATTACAATCACACCGGAAGATTGGTGATACTAGTAATGGACATGAATCTCAATGCTCTTCACTAATTTACAAACTCACGGTTTTTCAAATACATTTAAAATAACTTCATATGTAAAGTAACATTTGAGTTTTAAAGAAGACATGCTTATAGTAGTAGGTTATGTTTAGAACAAACCAAACACCAAAAATCAAAACAAAATACACTCATTACTAAGACATGCCACAGTAATGAAACTGAGCTGCGACAACCACAACGAACAGAGCAAAGAACAAAGAAATGGGTGTAACCACCCAAGTGGCAAATTGCAGTCAAAAGGGAATTGCTCTTGAAGACCATGCAATGAATCTACCACTTTTAATAGCTTCACTTGCTTCAGATATATGGAGTACACACATTAACAAGGTTGAAAACACTGGAACTGAGGATGTACATGCTGAAAATATTGGGGCACTAGACTCTACCTCACAGTTGGATTGCAATTGCATGACAAGCAAGGACAGCGAGCTACATCACCACTGAGGACGAAGATCGTCTTCATAATGGTGGAAAAAAAAAAAAAAAAAAAAAAAAAAAACGAGAAAAAGAAAAAAGGAAATAGACAGAATAAGCTATTCATTTCTCTGAGAAAGGATTGTCTAGTCATGTGCTATCCGATGCCTTGACAGGAGGGATGAGGAGCGAAGTATAACAGCACCTGGAGGAACGAACAAGTCATCAAGCAAGCTATGTTTGTTGATGACGATCAAAAGTCCCTACGCTGGTGGAAAAAGAAAAAAAGAAAAACATTCAATTGACAATGAAAGTGAGGTAGGCAGAAAGTAGTGTTAGAAATCTTTGGAGCGTTCTTGGACGATGACTGCTTGAAGTATCTTGTCCTCTCGGTATGCGAAGTAGGCAGACAGGGCGGAGGCTGGACCCAGAAGCACACTCCCAAGAGCTACAAGGGAGGCTATGTCGGTGCCATCTTCCAGGACAATGACGTACATGAATCCAAGGAAGAGGACGGACACATCCACGAGGAGGAAGAATGCTTGGAACTCAGTGTTGGACCAGGAGTGCAACAGCTTAAATACTCTCCAAGGGATTTCAGGGTCACGGATAATGTATAAGACCCCAATAAGATGCCAGATGAGGCCTGCCTCGGCTTGCAAGAGGTGCATGGCCTTGACTCGACGGTGGCCTCGCATTTGAGAAACCCCTTCTGAAGCGGGGGATAGCAGCATCCACAAGCATGCCAGGGCGATAGGAGCGATTTGGAAGAGAAGAATAGAGATCTCCTTTCCCTTTTCAGAAAATGGGAAAAATATAGCTATAGCACTCAGTTTCAAAAGGATGAGGGAAAGAGCTATGGCACCTATTCTAACCATGGACACCTTCTTGCGCCATATTTCCCGAGGTGTCCTGTCGCCGGCGTTGTAGAGAATGTACGAGGGCAGCCAAATAGCAGGTACAACAACTGAAATGCCAACCAGCATAAATAGTAATGCATGCAATGGGATGAGTGACAGGAACCACCCAGCCTTTTGCCTCGACCCTTCCACTGCCAGAAATGCATAAGCTGACACTAAGGTCGTAATCAAATAACCCGTTATCCAAGTTCCTTCCGCTGTGCTTAACCCTTGTCTGAAAGATTGCACCACTACACAAAGAAAATCATCAACAGCCGGGACACCAAACCTCCAACTGTACAACGGTCCTGGCATCTGACAGTGATTTCCGAAGGCTTCTACGGGCTCCCCTGCACGCCCATATAGGAGATACGATGTGTAAGCGCCAGCGAGTAACAACGGCGCAGCTTTCAACACACGTATAGCATGCTGATCCATGGCTGCCAAGGTTATGAGGTGAGGAACAGGAGCCAATCAGCAGGAGCCAAAGTGAATGCTCAAACACCTATCCTGCACACTCTCAGAGCATTGAGACAACCTGTGAACAAATGATCCCTGCTCATGGAATGCAGTTGTGCAATCTTAGAGACCAATTTCTAGAATCCGGCCCGGCCTCCAAATCTGTCAAAATCTACAACACAACTTGCCTCAACCTCCATGGCAGTTTAATTCCCCATCCCTTAGCTCCAAACCTCAGACTCATGATTCCTCATTCTATCATACTCCCGCTATAGCCAGATGGCGAACCCACAATCAACAGTCATCTGTTGCGCAAGCAAAGGTGCAAATTAGGCATTTCTGTTTGCGGGTAAAGTCGAAATCAAACAAGGAAGCAGAACAAAACATTCTCGATAAATAAAATAAAATAGAATCAAAGAATAGAAAGGAACAAGAAAGAAACAGAGCTCTCTGTCTCGGAACAATTTGTAGCAGTTATTTAGTCAAACTGTAGTTGGCATTGCAAGCTCCTACTTGATGAAAACCAATATCCAAGAGGAATCATTAAGATAGACTCTTTCAGTATCTACACATGAGCACGAGCCGATCGGACAACCAAATTCTTCAAAGATCGTAACTCGTCAATTTCAGGTGTGAAAAAACCACATTCCGAGCGATGGACTGACAACACACCGATTCCTCACACTGAATCATACCCAACATGGCGAACACAGTAGTACTACTCAGTGAGTAGATTCCTCCAACACCCGCCAACCCCAGCGATGATTTCAAGCAGAGAGGGTTCAGACAATTACGAAACCCAAATTTTCATGGGCGGCTCCTTCCAGAAATTCTCTCTCCCTCACCTCCTACACCCAAAATAAAAATAAAAATAAACTAAGGAGGAGTAGAAAGTAAGAATAAACAAAGAAGAAGAAAACAAGGAAGAAAAATAAAAATAAAAATAAAAAAACACCAATCCTTAGACAGGCTTCATTGTAAAACACACCATGAACGAGAAGTCCCGGCACTAACCCCAAATCTGAACAAAACCCCGTCGAAACAGCAAGACTCCTAACCCCACCTCCCCGGCGCAACGCCTCACCCAAAGTAAGTTTTCCGCCATGTCAACCGACACGCAACATCATAACAGAAGCATCAATCATCACAAACCTGGTCAACAAGAAGTCCCCATCAGCCGCTCCACACCAAACTCCAAATCCACTCCTCACTCCAACCACGAAACTAACCCTCAGATCTCAACGTTCAGTAGCCCCATCATCATCACCATCACCACCAATACCCAAGTGATTGCTAGAGTGATGGCGAGGCCCAGCTTGACAAACAGGCACAAGATACCAGAGTCTACAACCTGCAAACTATCTGTCCACTCTGTCTGCACTCGTGGATAAACTTCTGCCTAACCCCACAAAAAAGCGAGCGATGAAGGCTCTAGACGTGTGCATAGTACCCAAAATCAAAACCCCTCCAGATGACGAGCCTGCTCAGTTTGTGGTGACGATGAGCTCGCCTCCTTCACTCCGAAGAGGCCAGTTCGGATAGTACTGGCAAAGCGGGGAGGTCTTTGTCTATTTGTCGTGATGATGTAAAGCCCATGGCAGGACAGATGATAATAAGCACCCCAAACTTATGACCTACACGAATGATAGCGGAAGAGAGGCGATGACACAGAGAGCGGGGTGGGGCGGGACCAAGTCTTGAGCAAAGTGGGAGGCTACGGCGCTGCCAAGTGTTGCCTAGAACCTCCAAGTGTAAGCAGGAGGAGAAGGGGAATTGTCAAGAATAAAGTCCACTGGCTTGAAGTTGTCCCATACATTTCGCATCTAGTCCTACCAGCGCGACATCCTAACGCCCAACGCCGTCTGCTGGTGTCGTAATCAATCTCTCTCTCGCGATTGGTCGCCGAATATCTTCGGGAAATGAAATGTGAAAATTCTGTCGCAGGCTCCTTACTTCCACAAGCATGAATCCCTTCATTTCCCATGGTTTAGGTTTTAAAAGCACAGGTATCAAATGTGACTCCTTACACTTCACTGAACCTTATGAGTTCTAGAAAACGATGAGTGACAGAGACGACAAGCCTTCATTAGCGATTGTCTTCTATATCGCCTGTTTCTGGAGTATAGTAGTTACTTGTATACTTGCAATTTTAGTACTCTACTTTCGATTGTCGACTCACAACTTCGCGGAAGGGGTTTGTACTCGACTTTGGGGTCGGTCCGTTTCTAAAATTGTTCGACATTCAATACGCCTATTTCTCGATTGCAACTAGCTCGTCTATGCCACATCACATGCCACAGTTGCGACGCTACCTGTAGAGTTACGATGACATGATTCGCTGGCACTTGTTAGAAGGTGATTGGTGCGAACTGCTGCGAATTGTTGTCACCCGCCTCCGCGTGTTCTGGTTTCAACGGTTACATTTTTGAATTAAGGGTGAGAGTAAGAGACCCAATTTCACGTATAAAATACACAGGGTACCCAATACAAACTTAAAGGTTGCGACAAGTGAGGCACTACATAGGAGTAATTCAGAGACCGTGAAAAGATCAGTACTCTGATCAGTTCACTAAGGCCGTAAAAAAGTTCCATTCCAATTTATTTTTAAAAAAAAGAGTTTCTTCGTTCAAAAGAACCAGCCAATTAGAATTCGGCAGAGCACGAGCGAATTTAGAGAGCTTCATAACCATGTCAAATGCAAGTAGTACTAAAAGTAGCTGATGTTGCAGAGTAGTTGAGACATGCGGTGCTCGTGCATATGATAACTTAAAGATTGTAGAGACTTAGCCCTTCTACATATGTTCCTCGGATGAGTTTATCAGAGTTTTGTACAATTCTCATGTAGATCACCATACCCCTGCTCTTTTGAGATTACCCGCAGCTGCAAGATACATGACACTTATATTAAGGCGAAGTCGAGCTGAGATACTTCAACTATTACAACTATTACAGCGTTATAAAATAAAATAGATAGATAAATAAAAATGAGTCCACACATGCATTATTTATTCGAAAAAAAGTCAAACATGTGTTACAAAAGCTTACCTATTGACTGGCTGAGCGCTAGTAGGCTGTAGTGACCGAAAACAATTGCCACTTCTTAAGTAGTAAGATGCCCATACTTTTACACACCAAGTTCCATGAGTAAATCACATTCGACGTGCCTGGTTCTTGTCCACGGGATAAAGAATTGTAGGCAATATTCACAACAAAATGCTGACCAAGGTGCATATGAAGATCTTCGATGCTGCACTTGTTCAAGGTTCTGCCGTGAGCTGTATTACCTGGCATTAAAGTTTTAAAAAATCCGACAACCTGCATACAGAGCATAAAACATGTCAACTGCTTAAATGGCCGAACGACGCATGTACTCACTGAAGACATGCCCGCACGCATAGAGACATGTATGAAGATTCAACTCATTAATTTAGCCAACATTAATCATTGAAAACTGGAAGTTCCACTACGAGCTAAATCAATCTAAAAACAGCAGAATTCAGGAGAACGCGAAGTTGCCAACCTGACATTCTTGACGATAACTGTGTTACCGTCTGCAGCTCCAAGATGACGCAATTTCACCTCCTCCAGAGTGCCATCTTTAAAAGCATGCTGCAGGTTACGAAGCAATATACGTATGAGCAGATCACAAGCAAAATATGAGATGGATAAATACTTCTCTCACCAGCATGCTGTAAGAAATTAACAATATGCTTTATCTTTATACAATGCTTTTACTTGACATATCAATGGATCCTTCAGAAACCGACCTTCGCAAGATCCAGATTATACATAATATTACATTGACTTCAAACTTAACATCCTCGATTTGAAGTCTGCAGTGTTCAAACAAGATCCCACAGTCATAGAACGTACTTTGTAGAAGCAGCTTGTGCCAAAAGGACAGGTGCCATTTCCGTAATCGAAGTGCCTACAGTCGACCTCACTGCCAAATCAAGGGTTCAAGCTCAGATATTGTAGATACCAGCGGTGCTAAACCGCATTGCCACCTTTACGACAAGTTACTTGTACAACAATAACTATCTCTAATAACAACTGCGATTATAAATTAATTCAGGCGACCAGGAGAAAGATTCTCCTATTTGGTGCAAATATTTTAGTCGTTGTTGTATGCAAGGGATCTATCAAAATTCCATTGAAAAGAACGGGATGTGCTAAGTTTAGCTTTCAGGAACTTACCCCAGCTTGTTTTTGTAGCCATTTATGATCTCTTCCTTCTCTTCGGGGCTGAAGTACCATACGACACTAGGCACCACATAATGTGTTGGCACACGGCAGACTGGACAAGCTCGCACAACGGTATCAATATCCATTCCCGGAGCATGAGAACCACTTCTCCAACCTCGTATGCACCCAACGCAAAAAGGATGATCACATCCGGACATTAATCCAAACTTTCGCTCAGCCACAGTAGGCTTAGAAAGTACTCTCTCCAGGCAAATACTGCATTCTATGTCTTGGCTTTTCAAGAGAGCCTCCAGATTTTTCTTGTTCCGCTCACACTGGATCTTGTGATTTTCCCGATCCAAAGGCCGATATGGATGAAGACAGTGCTTCCCGCAAGTTGTACACAAATCACCATGTATATTGCGACAGGACTCACCGAGCGGGCAATTCCCAGCGGCAGCAAAAGCACAAATAGGCCTATCACTGGGATCATTTGAGAGTGCTTCAGGCTCATCAGCTTCTCCAAGTGATATCGCTGAGACACCGTTTGCAAGACTTTCAGTAGAATTCTGCTGCCAGGCATCTTTCAAATGAGCCAATGAAGGTTTTGCAATCACTGTAGCTCTCGAACTTGAGTCTACGGTAGATGTAAGGGAGATGGCCGCGGGCAGATGTCTTGGAACCGGCACCGGGGTTGCCAGAGGTTGAGTTAAACGAGACACTTTCACGTGCTCATACCGGCAGCGAGCACCATATGAGCAGAGACCCCGCTGGTAAAACGTGCACACCTGCGAGCACATCCATGGTCAAGAACAGTGCAAATTCACGAAGACCTACTGGACAGACTAAACTAGACTGTGGCCATCTTCTCCATTCTAAAGCCTAGCCCTGTTTGTTTCAATCTGCTTCAATCGATTCATCCACAAAAATTGCAGTTACTCACAAAAAGATTGTTCCAATTTCCAATCCTAAGCATCCAGAACTGTTTAAGACAACAGAGCATGGACGAGGAGGACCAAGAAACGTAATGCAAGTTCCCTCAGGATACCGCAATCATGCCGATTCAGCAATGAGATTGGCATAAGTAGCTAGACGCTGCTTCTAATTAGAACAAACCTGACTAGACTGGTCGCTCCAGTTGTGAGAAAACTGGCAATCGACTCCTTTAAGACATGCTCCATGCATGAAGAATTTGCACAACACGCTGTACAGATTTTCAAATGAAAAAGAGAAAAACACAAGAAAAGATAAGTTACGAGAAAAAAAACGATCCGAAAAACAATGATGATTGATTAACAATTGCCATAACTAACGAATCGCATCAATCAGATGCACAGGCGTTAAATTCGGTTCAAATGAAAAACATGTTAATGAGGGCAGCAAAAATAAACTTGAACATCTACCAACAGAACACCTACGAGACTCTCTACACGGCATCAAAAAATCAGTTCAAGTCTTACAATTGTCCTAAGTCTACTAAACACTGAAATTTTTTGCTTCCTCAATGAAGAAAATTACAACGATGAAGATGATGTAGAAGACTGTGTGGTGTTCGAAAACAAATGCATGCCCGGTCCTAAGAAAAAGAATTGCAAGGACCAAAACAGCACTAAAACCTCTACAACCTATGTAAGCAAGATCAAATGAGAAAAATATTGCAGAACAACAGCGAGAAAGAAAAAACTACCGGCTACGCCCCTCCATCATATACAATTGAAGCAAGAAAAAGCCACTCGCACTAGAAAATTCAAAACACAAGCCACCGCTGAATTCTAAATGCTAGAGGGAGGCCTTGTTGAAGTTGTTGAGGAACAAACGAGATTAGAGAGGGAAAGGCGGTGGAGCACGTAGCAATTAATAAGCAAGGAGGAAGTGGAAGCACGAATTCACGAACATCCATGGCGAGAGAGCCAGGCGTGTCTTAGACCAAAAGCCAGTGCTGTTGCTCTGAAAGTGAAATTTAGGGCTTAGTTAGGGCTTGCAGATGTATCTCTTGTTTGTCGACAAACATTATGAACGGTGCTGTTATCCGATGAACTTGTGATGCAGTTCCATGACCGTGCCCGCGGCGACGCCGACCCCCGCAATGCGGTCTTAGGACCACCCTACCAGCACCGCCGAGCTCACATGCATGGGAACATCACGTTCCCAATTAAGTAGCCATCTTCCATTTTTTCACCCATTCTAAAAACACCATCACCATATGGTGTACTTCCAGTATCAGTAATAATTCAATCAAGAAATTTATGGGTTTTCTAATTTATTTCGAACCTCTATATTTTTATTTGATTTTCAGTATTTTTTCAAAATTCAAGTTTAAACTTGAATTAATGTTTTTGAAAGAAATATATATACAAATGATGTAATAATGAATTAGTATATAAACGTTTAGAAATGCAAGACAATATAATAAAATTTTATTTTTATCAAAAACAGTTCATCTAGTTTAATAGTGATTTTATGTAGTTTGTTAAAATTTTAAGTATAATTAAGAATCTTTGCTTTAGCAACTCTCATGCATGCATATTTTAATGAACGTAGATATGACTATTGATACATAGAAGACTTTGATTACATGCATTGGGAAAACATGTTACAAAACCAATTAAATAACTAGATCAAAAACAGAATATAACACTTCTATTATTAACTATATATATATTAAATTGACCTAAAAAAATCTTAATTTATTCTATAGTTCTTTTAATGTCTTGTACCATGTTACGATTGATCTTGGTCAGCTCAAAACTTGAATATGTATTTACAGATCTCACCCTATTTTGCACTCTTGCCCAACTTTAGGAATACAAAACCAAACATGAAAAAACCAATTATCACTTAGAAACTGTTTCAGTCAGCTATTTTTAGTGCTCATTGTGCCCTGTATGTATATTTACACTGCATTTTTTACAAATGTTGGTACAATAATATGATTAATAAAAAAATAAAATACTGAAGCTATACAACTAATTGATCCTTGTAATGCATAGTTTCTTTAAAATCATATGAAATGTTTTAAACAATAATTTTTCTACACAATAATCGATGGATAGAAGCAATTGTGATAAGTTCACATCTGAAACTGAATTCGAGAAAGGTTATGATGTTTATTACAAGTATCAAAATTTTGGAACATTAATTGTTAAAACATACTATTACAATTACATGGTCTTTAATTTTGTAGGTTATTAAACCAGATCAGATAATCTATTGAAACATAATAAATCATGATGGACAACAAAATATTGTATACATGCAATATGCAACCTTCACCATTTTATTTCAATTCAAAATAAAAGAAAATCAAAATTTTAAATATCCTAGAGCAAGATTGAATTGTCTTTCTGGGTTTTAATTATTTCATTCATGGTAGTACGCTAAATAAAATATAACGTCTAAACTAACTATGAAAAAACAAATTTTATAAAATTCCTATACACAGAGGAAAAAAGTACATGAAACACAAAATTTTATGAATTAATGTCATCAATGTAATAACATTTTTCCGAATTTATAACATAAAATAATGCTTAATTATGTTTCCACACGTGAGAATTAAATGATAACCTTTACTTAAACTAGTTGCAACTTGAAGCATTCAAAAACTGTTTACATCATTCCTCAATCATTAAAAGCATGATTAAAAAAATCAAGAATTTAAATTTATATGGATATATATATATATATATATATATATGTATGTACATATTTCCCTAAAGAATTGCACTGACTTTTACCATAAAAAAATCTCTCACCTCAACCCTCTAGACTTTAAAAGAGTAGGCTCAGATAATATTAGACACTTTTTATAAATCTAAGGTTTATTAACAATTCAATTACATTGATTTCTATCTGATCTAAATTTTGTTAATATCATTATATATATATATATATATATATATATATATTATTTTTCTTGAAATGAAACTCAATGAAATTATTCTAAAAATAAATCAATTCAATCATTTTAGTCTAAATGTTTAGAAAAATGGATAGCTTTTTCAAAATGCACTTGAAAATTCATCAATTGAGAGTTGGATACATCACTGTCAAGAGCTAATTGGTAACCAAAAAACAAATGATTGATTCTAATATCACATGATTTTTTTTCACTAGAGTGCATTAAAAATGTTATAAATTAAGAATGCTTGAATGCGGAAAATTTGCAGCATGACTCATATTCATTAAATTTAATAAAACTTTCCTTGCATATTTATAGACTATATTTTAAATATTGCTTTACGTTAACATTATATATTCAATGATATTTATAATGTTAGTCTCCTAACACAAGCATAATTATATTATGTATAATATTATTTGAATTATAATTTCTTGTAGCATTATAAACTTAATTTAAAAAAAATTCTAAACCAGGTTATATTTTGTTAATATAACATAATTAATTTCATTGGAATAAATACTTAAAAAATACATTAGTTATGATGATTAATTACTGATGTGAAGTTTAAAGATGACCATACAAGTTTGTTCTTATGGTTATGTGTTATTGTGATATAATTTAGTTTATTTATCAAGTACAAATTTTTAATAAATTGTGATTATATATTTAAAATTATTTTTATTTATTTATATATTTGCAAGTGGATTACAAAGACTGGTTGTGTTATTAAATTATATTGTATTATAATAGCATATTATATATACATACATACATACTAGTAGGAACTTGTGTTGTTGGTCACAAAAAAGCTATAAACATTTAGTTTGTGGTTGCTAAGTCAAAAATTTAACCACTTCTAAATAAATGTTGACAAAGAAAAATAAGAGTAAGCACATTACAATAAAACTAATTATGTTTCTTCACAATAATAGCAATCATAATTTTTATTTATTGTAACAATTTAATTAACTAAGTTAAAAGAATGTCAAAATAAATTACATTTATGGTGGTCTTCTCATCTTCATTATTTTAAAAATATTTGATCTTAATCATATTTTAAAAAGTACATTGTGAAAAAACAACATACAACTGTCCATGTGCAAATGCAACGACTTTAAGATCTCTTTCTACATTCTTCAATGTTTGTCTTTGAGATTGTTTTAATGATCATTGCAAATTCTACTTTTATTAGAAACTACCTTTGCTACAATTTGAATGGAGTCTTCATAGATATTGAACATAATGTGATTATTGGAAGAAAAAACCAATTGTCCCTTATAGTTTTCAGATAATAGTCTTGTATCTTTAACTTTATCAGTCAATTGTATAATGACCAAGCATGATCCATTACAAAGTCATTGATACAAAACAATGCTTTGCATCAACATAATATAACATCCAAACTTCAGCTCTAAATTAAATGGTGGCAATCCAAATAGACTTAAGATCTTCAAATATTTGGCTACATGACATTTACCATTGTTGGCACCATCTTCTATAATTGCTATATGTGCACTAAGAAAAATATGTAAAACTTTACAAAATCTTTCCAAAGCATACATTTTCATATCATCAATATCATAGTAATTTTGTGTAGATAAATAGACTTCTTATTGAAATTTTCTTCTTTAAGTATTTCATCCTCATTCAATTCCCAATAGGAAGCTTGAATCAGATCATTTGATGTTGGACCTACTTCCATAAGTTTTGGAAGAATCACCATATTTTCCAATGGATCTGTAATTATTTGTTCATTTTTAATCTGCATATAGGAACCATTCTTAGATATATTAAGCATAAGTAATTTATTATAAAAAAAACTCTTAAAAGTAATATTTGTATATAATATATACCTTCAAGAGTTTTTTAGCAAATAATTAATTTTCATTAGAAATACCCAAAAACATTTTTTTGTCAACTTGCACATTTTAAAATAAGACAAAAAAATAGAGTAAAATTTAAAGATTTATTTATAAGTTATTTCTATGCAAACTATAACATGAATAGATAATATATATCATTAGTTATTCATTTTAATTTTTTTACATTTTAATTTGTGAAAAAGGTATTTTTTAAAATATCATGCATAAATAGAAGTAAGAATAGAGATTTCTCAAGAAACAAACTACAAGCTATTAAAAATAAGAGACAAACAATCTCTTTTATTGTCCACATGGATACACAAACTTCACCTAGAAATGTTATTAAGAATACAAAAAACAAAAAAAAAAAAAAAACAAATCATAAAAAAACATAATTAAAAAAAAATACAATAAAAATATTTGAAATTGCAAATCATTTGACCTTCCTCTATTTGTACCAATGTAAAGGTTTTTATCACCTTCTTTTGCACATGCTCTTTTTACAACAATAAGGAACATAGAAAATTTTGAAAATTTTCTATATATGTTTTCATCTACATATTATATTTAAGATCCTCCACCAAATTAATATTGGTAACATTTCCCACTTTAATCAAGGTTATGTTTGTCAATTTATCTCCAACATTTGCAAAAAATTATCAACTTTGAAAGTGAAACAAATTTACATCAGCTATTATATTTATTCTTTTATTCTTTTATTTTTATTTTTATTTTTTTTTGTGAGTGGGGGATTAGCAATATTTTTAAAATACAAATGTTGAGATTATAAATGATTTTTTTTAAAAAGTGGTGGGTATTGCATTTGATAGTGCGTAAAGAATAAGAAAGAAGAATATATATTGGAGTGGAAGACAATAGAAAATAATGGAAAGGGAGAAAAGGTAAACAAAAAGAAGAAAAAAAGTGGTGATGGTTGCAACAACATGATGTGTGTGTGTGTGTGTGACAACAATATATTTGTACATATCAATCAATACTTTCAAATTGTCAAAGTTAAGGATGATTGTAGGACAAATTCTATGACAAAAACAATGAACACCATAAGGAATAAAGGAAAACATACTAATGCACTTAATTTGGTCAAACATAGCGAACTTGAAGCAATCTAATGAAGTCAATTGATTTTTGTAGAAGTAAGGTAACAAACCACAAAAAACACCATCAGTAGGCAATAAATATTTGATATGTAGAGAGAGCAAAGCAAAAAAAAGATACAACCCCAAAAGTGAAGAAGATGCTACAATTGAAACAAAAAGCAGCACCTTTTTGTTATAAAACAAAGCAACTTACTGTCACAATATTACAAATCCCAACAAAGTGCTCTCTAATCCCAAACCAAACACCAACGAAATTTTTTCTGTGTTCAACAACACAAGCTTCTATAAGTATGAGAATATGTGTGTATATACATACATACATACACACACGCATTCGACACTTAAAAAGTTAAAGTGGACACAGAAATACCACCACTTTCGTTGGACGGATGAACATGTGAACACAGAATGGATGAACTATACGACGTGCGTGAACGGATGAATGATGAAAAAGGGATGAATTCCGGGATCGGAGGATGAATGCAAGACAAGGAAGTCCAAAGGGGGGGGGGGAATCGGAGTCGTTGGGGGCCAACTAGAAATACGTTACCGACGGATCGTCCTCCAAAGTGTCTGCAAGCTTCCGTTTGCTGCCCTGTTGCTTCCCGTCACACCATCGCTACACAAGCCCCACTGATTAGGGTTTCAAGCCACCCTGCCATCTCCATGCGTTGCCAACAGAGAGTCGTTTCCTCCACCGATCATTCGAATGCACGCTCTCGAGCCAATCCAACTCTCACTGCGAAATTGCATGAGTGGTTGTTGTTATTGTTGTTGATCCAGCGGTCTCGGGTGGGAACGGGGTGTCGCAAGAGTTTCGGTCGCCCTTCTTGTTTGGTGTTTGGTGTTTCGGGTTTCTGATAACGAGGAGATTATTCGGAGCGGGGAGATTATGGCCAGAAAAGCGGTGATTCTAAGGTCCATGAACTTGGAATAGGTATTGGATGGAGTGGTTTGATCGAGTGTGCGCTCGCTGAAGTGGTACAAGTCACGCTCATTGAGGGTGGTGCGCTTGCGGAAGAGTGAAATTTATATCATAGTTGGTAAATTTTGGGAGCAGTGTTGTTGGTGGTTGAGTTGATGTAAGGTAGAGGTGAAGGAAGTTTTGTTGTAGAGTTGTGGAGGGCTTTGCGGCCTTGTGTCTGCGTGGGCGGCTGTTTGGGACGTGTTGATGCCGTCGGGGCACGGAGAATCACGGAGGTTAGATGCATGGGTGGGTGGATTCAGAGATATCTGCTGTTTTGTTGGCATTGATCGTTATAGTTGTTGTGTCGTTGGCGTTCGCACATCAAGTGACCTCGAGATCAAGTCGAAGGCTGAAGAAGAGTCAGAGGATCGCGGGCGACGTTGGAGTCATTGTTCAGAGAGAGGAGCAATTTGAAGCAGATCGCAAGTCGATGTTGGGCACAAGTAACTGCGTTGTATGCCAGAAGTCTGCCACTCCGCATCGGTGCTCAAAATGCAAGTCCGCGAAATATTGGTATTGGGGTTTCTCTTCTTTCTCCTCCAAACTCGTGTCTCTCGTGAATTCTTCTTTTGTGAAAGTACTAAGTTGGTAGCAACCGCCCTACACTGTCGCACTCTGTAATTATTTGAGAAGCCACCTAATTTTTGATGATTCTGGAGCTCACTGAATTTTTCAAAGTAATTTCACTTTCCCTGCCTTTCTTATGGGAATCGAGGGTCATTGCGTCGTCACTAATATTCTGAATACTATTATTTATCTGCATGTAGATTGTATATCAACCACGATAAGTCCATTTGGCAAGGTTATTCGTAATGGCCTTTCCTAGTATCCCTATTACTATCAAACCCTGTAGTTTCTTTGTGACTGGTGAGGATGTGCATCGGGATGGATTGTATGCCGGAGCTGCCTTGTAATTCGCAATTACATTGAGTTACGTATGCAAGCAACGCATCTTGATTAAATGATAGAAGTCTTTTGTTATTTTTTGTTGCATCAGTTTCTTGTGTCATGCAGTTCGTGTGCGTGCGCGCGCGCGCGTGTACTCTCACACAATAGATCAATTGTAGTATGAAGTGCAATTCGTATTCAGAACCCTGGACGTCATGCTATATTATACCTCGGCTGACAAGAACAGGTGCAAGATCTTATTGTGGTTTCTTGCGAGTTTTGGAGGTCTAGTGCTAGTGACTACAAGCGATTCTTCAGCTTTTCTTCCTGACTGTATTGTTCCACTATCTTACCTTCTGTATTGAAAACTTAAGCGTAGAGAAGCAAAAATGGTCGATCGTCTACAAACAGCCAGTTGCCTTATCATAGTCCGCTGCAGAGGTTGGGAACCAAGTTGCTTACCAAGTTGGTCGTTGTTGTCGAATGATGCGTTGGGAGGCGGTTTGGATTCTTGTATCTCAACGCATGGATTGGGATGAAGATGCGAAGCGATCGCATGCTTGCAAAGTTCATTCGATCGGGCTACGCGTCCTTTATTTATTTTCATTCTGGTAAGTGTAATTTGAGGTGGTTTTAGATGGGTAGGCGTCCTTCTCACATTTCGGTGTTTTGGATTTACAGCTCATCTGAATGTCAAAAGCTTCATTGGAGAAGTGGACACAGAAACGAATGCCATGTACCTGTATCTAGCCGCCCTAGTGGCTCAGGAGGTGAGAGCGTAGCCGTTTGCAATGGTAAGCATCCGGAGACGTCGAAGAGCGGGGTTTCGACAACCGTGTTGAACCCTATAAGTTTAGGAATTTTCAAAAGTGATAGTAACAAGTCGACTTCGGTTAAAAAGTCATCGCCAAGTCAGGTGGCCAAGATTCCAGGAAATGCTCTTACAAAAGATGGAAGTCTTCCAAGGCCTAAATCAGTGAGTTTTCGAATGGCTTACAACCTTCGCGCCCGGTTCGTTTTCAGATTTATTGAACTGTACATGTAATCTAATAAATAGTAGAAAACTAACAATTCGTGCATTAATGCCATATAGGTCCTCTACATACATAATATCGCTTTCGTGAGGATTCCTTGTAACCTTTAACACTTTCTTCTCTCTCTCTCTCTCTCTCTCTCTTCTTCTTCTTCTTCTTCCCTTTTTTTTTTTTTTTTTTTTTTTGTTGTTGTTGTTGTTGTTGTTGTTGTTGTTGTTGTTGTTGTCAATTTTGAATATGCTAAATGGTTGCATTGTCGCATGTGCACTTCAGCTTTTATTCTCTTACGACGACTTTGTGAAGCTGTTTGAATGGGATGCTCTAGACGAACCTTGTGGTTTGGTTAATTGTGGGAACAGGTAATCTTTGTTGGCCTATGGAATCTTTGTCAATTTTCGCCTAAATAATAGTATTGTTTTTAGAATTTTGTGGTTTTCATTGCACGGCTTATTATAGTGAGGGTTTTGAATTCGTGTACTTAGAAATTTCAAAACACCACTTTCGACTTCAAGCATTTAAATCCCGTATTTCTGTTCTAAAGGTCTGGAACAATCTTCTGACATGGGATCCACCGTGAAGTACTTGTCTTGATGTACATAAGTATCATGTCCACCATGGCTCAAAGCAACGATTTTTAGGAACGTGATAGTAATGATTTGCTGTCAGCATTTTTGGGTGATTATTTCTCACCGTTACTTTTTTCGCAAAATGCGCAGTTGTTTTGCGAATGTAGTTCTTCAATGTCTCACATATACGCGACCACTTACTGCGTATCTACTGAACGATTCTCATCGTGAAGTTTGTAAGTCCCGTTCTCGTGCAAATGTATCTGTTCTTAGCTATTAACTTCAAACATACTGTTCTCGGTTTTTCTAAATGTTTTATGTCATGAACTGATTTTTCCTTCTGCTCAAGTCATCGTGAAATTATTGTGGGTACCAGGTAGGAGAAATGATTGGTGTTTTATGTGTGAGCTTCAAAGTCATGTTCGTAAAGTTAGAGAGACTCAAAATCCATTCTCCCCAATACGGATTCTTTCTCGCATTCGAAGTATTGGCAGCCACCTTGGTTATGGAAAACAAGAAGATGCTCATGAGTTCATGAGGTAAAATAATCCCCATACTCGTAGCTATGGTTTATTTGAAACACCGCTTCAAATATGGCGGATTACCCTTCATTTCCTACTTGAAGTTTAAATTTGATTATGTTGTTTATTGGAGGTGTTAGTATATGTGCTGGTTTCAACGATTTTTTATTTCTTATCACATAAAATCTATAACCTTGGACTTAATGGCGATAGGTTCGCCATCGATTCCATGCAATCCACTTGCTTGGACGAATTTGGAGGAGAGAAAGCTGTTGATCCCGCAACTCAAGAAACCACCCTCATACATCATATATTTGGTGGTCATCTTCAGTCCCAGGTAGTAACCTTTACAGTATGATGCTGTCCACATAAATACTAAGTAGAATGGCTAAGTGCGAGTTGTGGACCACGTATGGCATCTTAATCATAGATTTGCATAATGCTCAGTCGCAGTGAAGTGTAAATGAACCAGGTTGACGTTATGTGTCCTTTAACTGGCTACATGGATGCTCTTTTGACGTTTTTCATGGGAGACTTGCATTGTACGATAATGTAGATACGTTGTTTTCTCATGTCCTGGTCAACTATAGTTATGTTTCTTATGTTGTACTATTAGCAACGAGATTGAAGGTTTCATATCATTACTGTGTTTGGAACTGTAGGTTAAATGTATGGAATGCCATCATGAATCAAATCGCTATGAGAGTATGATGGATCTTGCTGTGGAAATTCATGGTGTTGTTGAATCATTGGAGGATGCCATTGCTCAATTTACAGCGGCTGAGATGCTGGATGGTGATAATAAATACAAATGCGATCGGTAAGTTTGTAACCACTGTCAGTCACTTTGGTGTAAAAAAGGTTCATGCTTTGAGTACGTCTGGAAGCAGAGGGGGTTTCCCTCCGTGTTGTACTTAACTTGTTTAGTGTATTCCGGTATGGTTGTGCAGTTGTAACGCGTATGTGAGAGCTGGAAAACGGCTGACTGTGCATGAAGCTCCTAATATTCTTACCATCGCGCTCAAACGATTTCAGGTTTTACTGAGAAGATTGTATGCCTTGCAATTTGTTCTTTTGTTGGTCAAGTTCCAGAATGTAGTGATGTAGAGATGAAGAAATCCTTACAGCGTATAATGCTTGGAGTGGTTTGTGCAATCTTCATGCATTTGTTCCTGTCACTGTTCATTGTGTATCAGCACATGTTTATTCTTAGTCCATGTTGTCCTTTAATCAGCTCATTACTAGAGGTGTTAATCTAACTCTGCATATTCATTCTTATGTGTTCTAGAGTGGAAAGTTTGGGAAGTTAAACAAGAGGGTAACATTCCCTAAAACTCTAGATATGTCTCCATATATGAGTGGGACCAACGATGATTCTCCTCTTTACGGACTATACGCAGTGGTGGTTCATGTGGACTTGCTTAATGCTTCATTTTTTGGGCATTATATCTGCTATGTGAAGGACTCAAATGGCGTGTGGTACAAGATTGATGACAGTAAGGTACAGCACCATTATTTGCGAGAAGTCTTAAATAACATTCCATTTTTTTGGGATGGGGTGGATCCAGAGGTGCTTCAGGGAAGCTTCCAATCAGGGCTTAAGTAACCTCTGCAAGTTTTCACGAGAGTCCATCAGCACCTATGGGTTAAGATTTAATGATTTCTTTTGCAGGTAAAAGAAGTGGAGTTGGAGAAAGTTCTTGCCCAAAAAGCTTACATGCTGTTTTATACCAGGTACTCTTTTGGGTATGTAGGTGCGTGGTAAATAGCTGTATTTGGAAATGATCTGGTATATACATGGTAATTGATGATTTCACTTACTGTTCCGTATCATCTCCGTTTTCTAGCGGAGATATCGATGTGACTAAAACTCTGATGCGCCTTGTAATATATTTGTACCTTTAAAGTTATGTGTGATTTCTAAGTTATTTTGCTCATATTGTAGTTTGCTGTATAACAATTCATTCGTGCTGCAGAGATGGCGTTCACTGGACCAATGTTGCCTTCCATCAATTTATGTAGTGGATTTTTTCCCTTGATAGTTTTACATGTATATTTGGTTTGTATTGTCTGACTGACACCTTTATTTCGTGTCATGCAGGTCAGGAGTACGGAAGGCACCTATGACCCAGGGACATCCTCCTGCAATCCTTGCAAGCCCACAGTCAGCCTCTAAGAAGATAAGCACTTCAGTATGCCTGAAACCTGAAAGAAGCTCAATATTTCCGCCTACACTTGGAGCAGTAGCTGTACCTACAGATTTACTCCAGGATTACTCCAAAGACACTGAGCTAATTGGGTTGAAACAATTCGAAGACAAGGCTAGAGGCTCTGATCGCAGTAAGATTTCTGAGTTTTTGTGACACTGAGATTTTTTAATATTACTCAGTCCACGTAATGTTGATGTTGTATGTGAGTAAGTTGCTGGATGAAGGCCAAGCAATCTGTTCTCTTGTTCTCAAATACTCGACAGCGAGTGTTACTTATCCTGGCCTCACTTGAATTTGTTTAGCCTCTACCTATCTTCTTCTAGTTCCGCAGCTTTTATATCTGCGTTTTCAAATTGCTGGAATATCACCACCTGATCGTATCTAATCAGTGCACATGTTTATACTACAGGTACCCTGCAAAATCCTGGGGAAATTATTCAAGGAAAAGGAACTGAAGATTCTACAAAGGAGAACGGTGCGGCAGACCCAGTTCCCGTAAGTACTTTTGCGTGTCAAGAGGAGATACTTTTAGAGGAAGCGAGATCTTCTAATGACTCTTTCAGTGCTTCAAATATTGCATCTACTTCACAAACTCTGAATGGCCATTTCTCATCAAATGGCAATCTTGTTCCGAATGGCCTGTCTTTGGATGCAACCAATGATGGTCTGGATTGGAGGGAGAACAAATTTACACCCGACAAACTTTCACCACTTTCTACCTCGAAGCGTTTGGGTGTTGACCAGCTGGAAGTTTATCCATTGGTGGATAATGGTAGTTTCTCCCCTCGTCCTCAGGTGGATGACTTTGGGAGAACCTTATCATTACCTAGAGAATGGGCTGGTGGCATCAATGATTTGTTCTCATCAAACTCACATTCTGGGAATTCGGAGTATTCGGCAGACTCCAGCCCATCTGGTGCTATTGTCGAGAAGGAAAGACGGAGTTTAAATGAAGCAGATGTCTGGAATGATGTTACCTCTGATAGGACTAAACGGCAACATACTGAAGATTCTTCTGAGAATTTAGGATCTGCAGACGCTCATATGAACGGAGATTCTCAGCACATGGATATTGATGAAGGAAATACTTCTATTGTGGACGTCGTCCTGCATCCACACAGGTCAAATGAAGCGCTAACCGGTGACGGTGCAGGATGTTCATCGATGTTGTTGGATGTTTGCCAAATGAGCGATAACGGAGGGCTTCCCCAGTCATCAAATTCTCTGTTGGAGTTAGAGTCTCTCTATTCCCAAAGTACTCTTGAATTGATGCCGTCTATAATAACGCATGGAGCTGGAATTGAACCTATGGAAATCGCAGAGTCTTCTCCATTCCTATCGTCTCCTCATCGAGGTCGTGTGCTTATTGAGGAACTCCCAGGGCCTGTATTAAACGGTGGAAACGATATGTGCACGGCGAAAGTGACTGAGAGTAACATGCCGACTCGTGAAGAAACGCATGATGTAGGAGTTATACAGGATGATATTCCTTGTCTGGTTGCTAAGTCACCTCTTGCTAAACCCGCCACACCTCAGGTTCATGAAGGACCTACTGTGCAACAACAGGATACGGCAGGACACTTGATGGGAACATCTAGAGCGAAGGTGCATGTTACCGTCGTGGAGGCCAGTAATGGAGTTAAACCGACTACTGACACGATCAATACCGTTATTACAGGCGAGGAACGGATTAAAAGCAGTGTATCAGCTTTGGATGTTAAACGTACCAATCAAACTTCAAAACCACTATTCTCTCCTGGCTTTCTGATCAAGAACTCAAGACCCACCTCAGGGAAACCTCTGATCAGGAGTAATGATGCAGTTGCAAATGGTAGAGGTGGTGAGGAGAACGGTCATGGTCATTCCATCGAGACAAGCCGGGGTCTGTCAAATGGAAGACCTGCCTCGGTACCTGTCACTAATGGTACTGAAGGTGGTCCTCTAAGTTCAACCACAAATGGTGAATCGAGCTGTCAGGTGACAATTAATGGGGCCCATAACGATGGGAATCCTAAATCAAGAAAAAAACCGAAGGACCCTCCTTTGGATAGTGGGAGAGAAAATGATCCTATGGATCGATCTCGAAGCTTGAAGCACAAGCAAGTAAAGCAAGGGAGGAATGATAGTTGCGGTTGTGGATCTCAACAGAAATGGAAGAAGTGCTGTGGAAGAGGCACTGTCCTCAAAGGACTTGCGTCCAAGCAAGTTACTGTGTGATTATCCTAGTAGTGACTACTTCTTATGGATCAGTACTTGCCCTGCATCATTGTGGTGAGTGTCCACGGCATTGTGTCTATGGACCCGTCCGATTGAGACATTGCCTCAACGAATCTAACTTTGTGACAACTCGGATATCGTATACCTTGGTTGTGTGTTCTTCACTTGACGATGCTCTTGCGGCAAGATGACTTGTGCTTCTAGAGCAGAGCCTGGCGATTGTTCATTCCAGGAATTTACCGACATCCGATGGACATGATTTCTTCACTGAATGCCTGTAGTTTGTCTGTGTATAGTCAACAGAACAGGTGAACATTTTGCAAATGCTAATCGGATCATAGACTAGTGAGATGATTGATAATGAGTACATTTAATTAGCGCGGGAGATAAAAAGACTGCCATTGAACTAATATTCTACCTATTTTAGGACTTTTGTAAAGTCAAATTGCAAATTTTTTCTTTTTCCAGGGCTTGAGATTTTGAGAGTTTGCCTTCGAGGGAAGATTATGCACAAACACACCTAACATAATTATTATTAATTTAGAAAGAAAATAATAATGTTACAGGAAAGAAAACGAAGGGATATCTGCTATTGCTGAGGTCAAGATTTTGTACAGCTGCTAAACTCCTAGTTAAGAATCAAAGGCATCATAATTCTGGAGGTTTTGAAAGGTTTGGTAGGAATCCTTTGCAGCCGATTTTGGGTCTAATTTCGTAACCGGTTACTGTGTTCTAACAGTTTGTTACAGTAACAACGTGCCAAGCTCTTGTTATGACCCTTTCTACGTGCTCTTAGTGGTCAACAGGTAACTTGCACATCTTATACATATATATATATATATATATATGTATATATATATATGTATATATATATATGTATATATATCTCTGTATTTTATTCTCTTTTATTTTAGTTTGTCACTAATTGCAACCTGAAATTATGTTACTGCAAAGGGCAATTTTTCATACAAGTCTACCCCTATGTGGCTTTCTTGAACTTCCTCACACATCCATTTGCAAATTGCCATGAAATTGTACCCCTACATGTCTTTTTTCAACTTCCTTAAATACTCATATGAGAAACAATATAGAAATACTTTTCAATTAGAAACTCTCTTCATTACTTGCACTAAGCTTCTAAATCATTGCAACCAGGAGTTTCAAAAATCTCTTTTTCTTCCCTGTGAGATTTTTTTGCAATTTCTCATGAAATAGTTATACTTTGTCATAATTATTTTTTGTCTCTAATGTTCTCTTAGGCAACTTTTATCTTTAAAAACCTTGCATGCTAATGCAAGATATGATTTCTTTTTGCTTACTACATGAGTAATTGTAAACCATTATATTTTTGTCTAAAGTTTCTTGTGTCTTAATTTTTTTAGATTCAACTAAAGTTTTGCAAATCAAAGAATCTAATTTTAGATATTCTTGTACAAAGTATTGTGCACTTTGTTTTTTAAAAAATAATTAGAAATAATTATAAAATGATTCCTATAAATATTTATTCACTAAAATACTTTGATTGATATATCTTTTTATTGCTAAGTTTCTTTTTTACATTATCTAAGTAATCCTATTATTATTTCAATATTCTTGATAGAATCTATAAGTTGTTATTTTCAAATATCTACTTTTTGCTATCACCACATTATTGAGAAGACATTGTAATAGAATATTATATCTTTGCATTTTTTTGCTTTTACTTTTAACAAATATATATATATATATATATATATATATATATATATATATATTTTAATATCGCTATTTATATTTGGCCAATAGATGAACTTAAACAAATTGCTCAAGATGGTTTTATTTTTCTTTGCCCTACTATTGACAAACCACAATAATTTTATTTATTTATTTTTCTTTCAAATATATTCTTATAGATATGTGACATGGTTATTAAAACTTATACAATAAGTTATCTTTTGTAAAAAAGTTGCATTAGAAGCAACTTAGAATTAGAAGCTTGTAGCATAGTAGTCCTTGAGCTTCCATAAGACCTTTTTGGTAGTTAGCATGAATGGAAGCAAGAGTAAGGCCATCTTTAGTCACATCAATGCCTTAATTGTATTTTAGTCTACATCCAAGTTGATTTAGTTTCTTTATATTGGATAAAAATCATTTTGATTATTAATTCATATTTATATCTATCTTTTTTCTTCTTTTTTTAATATATATATATATATATATATATATATATATGTATTGTCTTTGAAAGCTTGGACTAAATTCATACATCTAAAACATCCATTGAAGCTATTTTATATTATCAATGTAAATTCAAGTAATTTCTTGATCCATAATTAGAAGTAATTAAAAAAATATTATTAATAAGGTAGTGTTTATAAGTCCTTAAGAAATGGACCACAACCATGATTTTATTTTAAATACTATTGGTGTTACTTCTTGTAATAATAATTCTACACTTCCAAATTACAAATATTTATCTAAATTTCAAAAGGTTTATTAAATTTAGGATACTTCAAGATTCATGAAAAACCTAAGATATTCTTTAAAAATTAAAAGAAAAAAATGTTTATAATGCTCATTCTATTTGATAATCTTGTTTTATTTATTTTTTTATTTTTTTATAAAGTCTAATAAGAGTCTAGCCATTTAAAAGAAATCTTTGTAAAATTTCTATAGTTCTTTTCTACTCTTAAGAAGCTTATATACTATTTTATTTTTAAAACCTTTATATTCTATACGGTTTCTAGAATTTCGACATTATTTTTTTCATTGATAATGTATAAAACAAAACTTTAAGCTCTTTCACAAAAAAGACCAAATTAGTTATTTTTATAAATTTAAATAATAATAAATTAATTTAAATTTAATACATTCTTTATTCATATTTTTGAATGTTTTTTACTCTAAAAATATAAGAATATTATTTTAAATATTTTTTTACAAAAGTTATAGTAGAACTTGTATTTAGAGTTATTTTATCTTTTAAATTTTAAAAATAAATCTATTTAATATTATATTTTAAGTAAAATTATTTTAATTTTTATTATTTATTTTGCCTCATATATATATTTTTTTAATTTTCTAACATGAAGAGTTAAAAAATAGATTTTATTTTTTATTTTTTCTATTGATTTCTATTTGAATTACTTTTGTAGTAAGGTGCTATCTATTAGTCTAAAAATTGTTCTCTAACATTGCATATATACTACTATGGTTATACATTCTAAAATCTTCTAAAAATTCTATACTCTCATATTTAAATCTAACCCCTCTTACAACCTCAATTATTTATTAACTTTTTTGGACAATGGCTTTTTTACATTCTTTGAATTTATTTTGTGAGGTTCTAATTTTATTGAATGTTTTATATTTATTAATTATTTGGTGGTTTCTTTAATAGTTAACATCAGAACACTAATATTTCTTAGTTGAATTCTAAAATAATCTTATTTATTTCAGTAATAATAAATTAAGGTGGTTTTATCTTTTTATATTATATTGTATTAATTTTTATATTATATTGTATTAATTTATGTATTTTTTTTCAAATATTTCTTTGTTTTGGATTAAAAATTAAATTTTCTTATAAAATCACTTAATTTTTTTAAAATAGTGTATTATTTATATATATTATATTTAAATTTATATTTTTTACTATATAATAGATCTCATCAATCAACTAAAACATCTAATGTATACTTTACATTATATCTTTATCAATCTATAATTTTAAATTATATTACTAAAATAATAATATCATATAACATTTTATTATTTTCTTATTTTATTGTTATTTTTCTAACTAGCTTATAGAAGATCAACATCTATTTATTCTAAATTAACTTAGTAAGTTAGTTTATGCATGTAGCTCTTATAGACTTAAAACTTATACTTATTTTAAAGCTTGTCAAAGGATCCTAAAAGTTTAGCTTATATATATTATATTACAATTTGATTACTAATTTTTCAATACTTCATAAAAGTACTTCAAAATTTAAGACTCTAAATTTAATATTTGTTATAAATTGATGACAACCATCTATCACAAACATAATGATACTAATAATTACTAAAATAAGAAGAATTTTGTAGAAATAAGTAAAATTAAGTATATTTGATAATATATCTTTTAGAAAAGCTTCTTAAAAGCTTTATGAAAAGCCATTGTGATTTCACAAGAGTTTGCAAGTAATTGATAAGCTAAAAAGTTTGCCAACAAGTTGAACATGTTACATACGTTTGCCACTTGTAATGCAAGTTGGGCATATGGCATACATATTGCAAATTTGACTTGCAAGTTAGTTCTAAGGACATGAATTACAAAGAACCAAAGGTCAATACACTCTTGTATCATAAAAAAAGAGTAAATAATTACTCGAAGATATTTTAATATTAAGACTAGAATGTCTATTATCAAAGATAAAAAGATGAGACTCTTGAAATAAAACCAAGAATCAAATTTATTTTTATAAAAGTAAAAAAGGCTTTAAACTTTCTGTTAGGGACATAGTCCTTAGAACCTTCTAGAGACAAGTTTCTAGAACCTTCTAGAAGCAAGTCTCAGGAACCTTCTAGAAGCTTCTTAGTTGGTAGAAGATGTTAGGGACATAGTCCTTAGAACCTTCTAGAGATAAGTTTCTAGAACCTTCTAGAAGCAAGTCTCTGGAACCTTCTAGAGATAAGTTTCTAGAACCTTCTAGAAGCAAGTCTCTGGAACCTTCTAGAAGCTTCCTAGTTGGTAGAAGTTGCTTGAGAAGCTTCCTAAATAGGAGTATATATTGGAATCGAGGCTGAAGAGTTCTTCAGTCTCGACAATACATCTCTTGGAGCTCTAGCTCACCTCTCTGGTGTTGTTCTTGTATTCATCTGATTAATCTAGTTCTTGCGAGTTCTTCTTGAACTTCTTGTTAGATCTCGAGTCTGTATTTCTATGTCCATGACAGTTTGTCGAGACTTCACTCATCTCAGATATCAGAGCTAGTTTCTTCTGCACTTGGAGAAGCAACTTTGCCTCAGGTTTGATAAGCACCGTTGGTTCTACAACATAAGGAGCCCCGAGTTAACCTTCCGGACAAGTTCGATGGTACGCGTTCCAAGTTTCGAGGATTCGTCAACCAAATCAGGTTGATAACAATTTTACAGCCCGAACGCTATCTAATGGAGGAGTCACATGTTGGGCTTGTTGGAAACCTTCCTTATAAGGCAAGCTCTATCATGATTTGCTCCTTTGTTTGAGAAACGATTGTCCATACTAAACAACTTTGAAACCTTTTTGGAGGCATTTGCAGAAGCATTTGGTGAACACGACAAGGTTCGATGGGCTACAACAAAAATCCAGTTACTATGACAAGGGATGCATCTTTTGTCATCATGTAGACCTCTACATCAGTCTATACATCGGACTTCAGGCAATTAGCATGCGACATCAATTGGGACGAAGAAGCGTTGATGAGTCAATTCTATTGGAGTTTAAGGGATGATGTGAAGG